TGAAGGCGCGCCCTCGCCGTTGAGGCATTGCTCGCCCTCTCCGTAAGGGGAAGACGCAGGTAAAGCCAGACCTTTCCTTCGGTTTATTTCCTGTCATTTTTATGTGTATGTGTATATCTATCTATCTATCTATCTATACAAATATAATATGATTAATATATATATATATATATATATATATATATATATATATATATATATATATATATATATATATATATATATATATATATATGTGTGTGTGTGTGTGTGTGTGTGTGTGTGTGTGTGTGTGTGTGTGTGTGTGTGTGTGTGTGTGTGTGTGTGTATGTGTGTGTGTGTGTGTGTGTGTGTGTGTGTGTATGTGTGTGTGTGTGTGTTAATGTATATAGGGATATACATTCTGTACATACACATATAAACACGCACATACTCACACACACACACACACACACACACACACACACACACACACACACACACACACACACACACACACACACACACACACATAATACATATATATATATATATATATATATATATATATATATATACATATATATATATATATATATATATATATATTATATATATATATATATATATATATATATATATATATATATATATATATATATATATATATGTTTCATTCGAAACACCAGAAGAGCCACGAGCAGAGCCAAGCAAGAGCGAGAGCAAGTCCGTGAGCCGCGCGGGCCCCTCAGGCCCACGGCGCGCGGCCTCTCCTGCAGCGAAGGCCGCCGCGAGCGGGTGGCCGAGGGGGCGAAAGGCGAGGCTCCGGCCCCGCGCCGGGAGGAATGCGCGCCGCGGGAGGAGAAAACTCGTTTAAAATAGCAATTAAATCCCGGCACGATCCAGGCTCCCACCGCGAGGAGGAGGGCGAGGTGGTGGGGAAGGAGGGAGGGGGGGAGAGGGTAGGGAAGGAGGAGGAGGAAGGGATAAGGAGGGAGGGGAAGGATGGGGTAAGGACAGAGGGAGGGAGGACGATAGGAAGGGGGCGAGGATAAGTGGAATAGGGAACAAAGGCCGAAGCCGAGAGGAAAATAAAAGTTGTGGCGAGAGAGATCAAGAAAAAAATCTAAGCGTACGTCAAGATATGCGAAAAGAAAAGAGGTCAAATGCATCCCTGCCGCCCTCATTCCCTCTCCCTTCCCACTCCCTGTGCAGCCACGTTCCCACACGCCCCACTCGCGGCCCAAGGCAGGCACTTTTATTGAAATTCTTGCTTTGGTGATTTGCGGAGACATTTTCATTCAAATGAATAATAAAGTCATTCGCGAGTCTTTGGACGGCGTTCGCAGACGGTATGCGAGGGAGGCGGCGAGGCTGAACGTCGCGGCGCGGAGGACGAACGTGCAGCCGCGAAATCCATGTGGAGGAAGTGGGCGGCTTTGGCTGCGCCTTTTCATTTGGTGGATTTTCTCTTTTTGTCAGGTGTTCTTTGTCTCTGTTTCTGTCTCTGTCTGTCTGTCTATTGATCTCTCTCTCTCTCTCTCTCTCTCTCTCTCTCTCTCTCTCTCTCTCTCTCTCTCTCTCTCTCTCTCTCTCTCTCTCTCTCCTCTCTCTCTCTCTCTCTCTCTCTCTCTCACACTCACTCGCTCACTGTCTCTCATGCTATAGGAAGAAATATGAAGAAAGAGAAGAAAAAATGAAGGAGAAGAAGAAAAGGGAAAAGAAATGGATGAGATTATGAAGAAGAAAAGTAATAAGAAGAACTAAAGAACGAAAAAAAAAAAACGTTAAGAAAAGAAAAGAAAAGAAAAGAAAAGAAAGCTTTCACAACCCCCTCAGCTTCTTGTATGTCCCATTCATACACATTTCCGAATTTCCTTTCATCTCCTTTAGCTCGTCCTCACTTATCATCCATTTTCTTAACCCTCCCGTCGTCTCTTTTTCTCGGAATTTCTCCCATCCCATTTATCTATCTTTCGTGGGATTCTGTGCGAGCATTTAACCCTCTTTTTGCCCTGCGTGCAAGTTTAATCATTCTGCCTCTCCCTTGTCATCAGCGCATACTAAGCTGTATTTGGAATTCCTTTTGTTGTTGTTTTTTCTTTTAAGTTTTCGGCTTTTGATAGAATGTATCTTTTCTTGGGTCTTGGTTTATTAATTGATATGTATGCGTATATTTGTATGAGGAAGTATGTGAATAGGTGTGTTGATAGACATACAGACACTCACACATGGTAACAAAGAAATGTACACATATAGACACACTTACATAGACAGACATCCACAAATATGCATATTCTGAGACAACATCACTTGCTGTTACATTTTTTCTCTTTTTCTGTACTTGGGTACTTCACTTTTTCTCCTTGACTTTGAGTATTTTCCAAACCCTATGCTTTAGTTTCCTTTTACATATCCTGACTACCATGTGAGACTGCTGAGGGTAGGGTGGGGTGGGGGGGACTATACCTTAAAGCAAAATTACATATTCAGAAATGTCACATATTTACTCTTCAGCTATTTGTCTTCCAGATTTTTCTCCCAATGTTTTCCTGAAATTCTGAAAGAACCTTTGTAACATAAACTCCTTCTTATTCCCAAAGCACAAGAAAACAAACACCATAATTATATGTAAACATCTCTCTAGCTACTGATCATAACAGCTCCTATTATTCATGATAAACCCTTTGCCATTCTCTCTTTCTGTTTTTGTCATTCTCTCTTTCTGTTCTGCCGACTCTCTCAGTAGGATTACAAGGAAATGGATTTTGACGAATGTCCACACACTGAAATTGAAGGTGTGTTGATGTAGTTATGTGATCGATGTGTATATGTGCGGGAAAGTGTTTTGTGTATGTGTATCAGTAGTTATGCGAGAATGGGTCCTGAGTCAGTTTCATGGCTGTGATCTGATTTGCTATACGAATGTGACATACCTTTGGCTTTTTAATATTATTCTTGTTTATATAGGAACATATGCATTTGATTTTTTTCGTTTGTAATCAGATCAACTAACCAATTGATTTTTTTTCTTCAGAAATGATTAACGCATGCCACGTGTCTAAAGTCTATCATACTTGGTAACATACAGATCTACACCCTTGATATGTGTTTGTTTGTTTGTTTGTCTGTCTGTGTGTATGTATGTGAGTATGTGTGTTTGCATGTGTGTGTGTGTGTTGTGAAACGTCTGTTAGAGAACGATAAGGGGGGGAGGGGAGGGAAGGGGTTAAGATGTATTTTTTTTCCTTTGTCTTTTACCTTCGGCTTTGATATCTGGAAAGGATTGTGAAGCCTGATCTGTCGTACGTGGAGATATTTTTTTGTTGGGGAAGAAAATAGGGAGGGGAGGGGAGGGGATGAAAAGATTGAGGGAAGAGGGGGGGGGGAGGGAGAAAGAAAGGCAAGGGAGGAAGGGGAGGAAAAGAGGGAGAAAGGAGCGAGGAGGGAAGGGGAGGAAAGAAGGAGGGAGGAGGGGGAGAGGAAAGGAGGGGAGGGAAGGGGAGGAAAGAAGGAGGGAGGAGGGAGAAGGAAAGGAGAGGGAGGGAAGGAGAGGAAAAGAGTTAGGGAGGAGGGAGCGGAAGGGGAGGAAAGAGAGAGGGAGAAAGAGGAGAAGGGAAGGAGGGAAGGGGAGGGAAAGAGAGAGGAGAGGAGGGGGAGGAGGGAAGGCAAGGGAGGGAAGTAGAAGAAATGAGGGAGGAGAGGGAAGAGGAGGAAAAGAAGGAAGGAGGAGGAGGAGGGACAGAGAAACGGGAAGGGGTGGAAGGGAAGAGGGAGAGGAAACGAGAATAGGGAAGAAGGAGATAATGCAGGAGTGGGGAAGAGGAACGGAAGGTGGGAATGGGGAAGAGGAATCGAGTAACCGAAAAAGGTAAGAAGGAAGGAAAGAGGGAGGGAAAGCGGTAGAGAGAGGGGAGGGCACCAAGGGAAAGATTGAGGAAGCTGGAGGGAATGCAGGAAGAGAAGAGGGAGGGAAAGAGAAGCGGTAAGAGGGAAAGAGAGGTGGAAACAAGAAAGCAAACCACGTGATAAGCGAGTAAAGGCGAGAATATATATATATATATATATATAATATATATATATATTATATATATATATATATATATATATATATATATGTATATATATATAATATATATATATATATATATAATATATATATATATTATATATATATATATATATATATAGATAGATAGATAGATAGATAGATAGATAGATAGATAGATAGATAGATAGATAGATAGATAGATATGATATATATATATATATATATATATATATATATATATATATATATATATATATATATATATATATATATATATATAATATATAATATATATATATAATAGGAAAATGATAAATTCATGAAATACTAGATAAATTATGAAGCGAAAAAATCCATAAAAGGAATAAAACAAAGAAAGAAAGAAAAAGAAGAAGAAAAAACATGAGCTTAGATATAAGTTGGTGAGACGTGAATGAGAAACTCAAGTCTACGACATGAGGAAGCGAAGAGATTCTAAAAGACGTGGAAAGATTGGGCCATCAGGAGGTGAAGAGAGAGGCGCTGCAGATCACTTAATGACATGAGGGATGAGGGAATTAGCCGCTGACATGAGGGAGCTCTTGCAGATATAGGGTTGGATTTACGTAGAGAGAGAGACGTGGGGCTTGGAAGTGAGGTGTGTGTGAGTGCGGCGGTTGGGTGAAAGTGGATATTGTGAAGAATGAAGTTTTGTGGCTGTTGAGTAAATCATGGAAGTTGTGTGAAAGTGTTGATGTTGCGTGAAATTAAGGAAGTATTTTAAAATTGTGGTTGTTGAGTCAATTATGGAAGTTGCGTGAAATTGTGGATATTGAATGAATTATGGAAGCTTTGTGAAAGTGTGGATATTGTGTAAAAATGTAGACGTGTAAACGTATTTCAGCCGTGTAAAAGTGGGGATGTTGTGTAAAAGTGTTTTTTTGTGTGTGGAATTATAATATTTTAAAGAAAGTGCAGATGCTGCATGAAAATCTGGATATTGCGTAAGATTATGGGTATTGCGTGAATGTGTTAATGTTTTCCACTGTGAATATTAGGAAAATAATGTTTTATAACTTTCCTCTGTGATATCTATTTTCTCCTCGCTCTTCCATTTCCTAAGACATTTCTAAGTTTGTATTCTTATCCCCTTGAACAATTCTTGCAAGAAAAGTTTAAGAACAGATTCCTCATTCTTGCAATTATACAGATCCTTACGGGGATTCCTGAAAGAGGCTAAAGCATGGAGAAATAAGGGAAAGGAAATTAAGAAGCGGATGAAAAGCGGAAGAAAGAGAGAGAGAGAGAGAGAGAGAGAGAGAGAGAGAGAGAGAGAGAGAGAGAGAGAGAGAGAGAGAGAGAGAGAGAGAGAGAGAGAGAGAGAGAGAGAGAGAGAGAGAGAGAGAGAGAGAGAGAGAGAGAGAGAGCGAGAGAGAGAGAGAGAGAGAGAGAGAGAGAGAGAGAGAGAGAGAGAGAGAGAGAGAGAGAGAGAGAGAGAGGAGAGAGAGAGAGAGAGAGAGAGAGAGAGAGAGAGAGAGAGAGAGAGAGAGAGAGAGAGAGAGAGAGAGAGAGAGAGAGAGAGAGAGAGAGAGAGAGAGAGAGAGAGAGAGAGAGAGAGAGAGAGAGAGAGAGAGAGAGAGAGAGAGAGAGCAGAAAGTAGAAAGCAGAAAGAGAGAGATACAGAAGAAGAATAGATTAGGAAACTGGGAAAGCAAGAGGAAAGGAAAGAAGTTATGTGAAGCGCCATAATGGTCCATGATCAAATTTCACACACAGAGGAATAGCAGCCTAATGCCCTGAAACAACGATGATTGACTCCATTTGCATAGATAGCAAGGCCTTGCTCTGTGCCACCGCCGAGTAGATAGCAAAGGAACCTCAGGGGAGTCTTTTTTCGTGCTGCATCAACATGTCACATGCACACTTGCACATGTTGAGGCTCCCCAACCTCCTCTTTTGAAGCTCCCCCATCCTCCTATGTCGAAGCTCCCCCATCCTCCAATGTTGCAGCTCCCCCATCCTCCTATGTCGAAGCTCCCCCATCTTCCTATGTTGCAGCTCCCCAATCTTCCTATGTTGCAGCTCCCCCATCTTCCTATGTTGCAGCTCCCCAATCTTCCTATGTTGCAGCTCCCCCATCCTCCTATGTCGAAGCTCCTCCATCCTCTCATGTTGAAGCTTCCTCATCTTCCTATGTTGCAGCTCCCCATCCTCTCATGTTGAAGCTCCCCATTCCTCCTATGTCGAAGCTCCCCCATCCTCCCATGCTGTAGCTCTCCCATCCTCCTATGTTGCAGCTCCCCCATCTTCCTCTGTTGCAGCTCCCCCATCTTCCTATGTTGCAGCTCCCCCATCTTCCTATGTTGCAGGTACCCCATCTTCCAATGTTGCAGCTCCCCCATCCTCCCATGCTGTAGCTCTCCCATCCTCCTATGTTGCAGCTTCCCCATCTTCCTATGTTGCAGCTCCCCCATCTTCCTATGTTGCAGCTCCCCATCTTCCTATGTTGCAGCTCCCCCATCTTCCTATGTTGCAGCTCCCCATCTTCCTATGTTGCAGCTCCCCCATCCTCTCATGTTGCAGCTCCCCCATCCTCCTCTGTTGCAGCTCCCCCATCTTCTCATGTTGCAGCTCCCCCATCCTCTCATGTTGCAGTTCCCCCATCCTCCTATGTCGAAGCTCCCCCATCCTCCTCTGTTGCAGCTCCCCCATCCTTCTATGTTGCAGCTCCCCCATCCTCTCATGTTGCAGCTCCCCCATCCTCTCATGTTGCAGCTCCCCATCCTCCTATGTCGAAGTCCCCCATCTTCCTATGTTGCAGCTCCCCCATCCTCTCATGTTGCAGCTCCCCATCCTCCTATGTCGAAGCCCCCATCCTTCTATGTTGCAGCTCCCCCATCCTCTCATGTTGCAGCTCCCCCATCCTCCTATGTAGAAGCTCCCCCATCCTCCCATGCTGTAGCTCTCCCATCCTCCTATGTTGCAGCTCCCCCATCTTCCTCTGTTGCAGCTCCCCCATCTTCCTATGTTGCAGCTCCCCCATCTTCCTATGTTGCAGGTCCCCCATCTTCCAATGTTGCAGCTCCCCCATCCTCCCATGCTGTAGCTCTCCCATCCTCCTATGTCGAAGCTCCCCCATCTTCCTCTGTTGTAGCTCCCCCATCTTCCTATGTTGCAGGTCCCCCATCTTCCAATGTTGCAGCTCCCCCATCCTCCCATGCTGTAGCTCTCCCATCCTCCTATGTCGAAGCTCCCCCATCTTCCTCTGTTGCAGCTCCCCATCTTCCAATGTTGCAGCTCCCCATCCTCCCTGTAGCTCTCCCATCCTCCTATGTCGAAGCTCCCCCATCCTCCCATTAGCTCTCCCATCCTCCTATGTTGCAGCTCCCCCATCTTCCTCTGTTGCAGCTCCCCCATCTTCCTATGTTGCAGCTCCCCATCTTCCCCCCATCTTCCAATGTTGCAGCTCCCCCATCCTCCTATGTCGAAGCTCCCCCATCCTCCTCTGTTGCAGCTCCCCCATCCTCTCATGTTGAAGCTTCCTCATCTTCCTCTGTTGCAGCTCCCCCATCCTTCTATGTTGCATCTCCCCCATATGTTGCAGCTCCCCCATCCTTCTATGTTGCAGCTCCCCCATCCTCCCCCTCCCCCTTCCCGTTCCTCATACGGAATCGCACCAATGTTTCCTCTCTCTCTCACTCGGAGGTGAAGTTGACAGACACAAGTTTTATAAATGTTCCTCCTTGATATTCCGGCAAACGCTTTCCTTATACTGATAGCTTAACAGATAGCAAACATTTAAGTAGATAAACACGTGTTTAAAGCCTGAGAGATGAATATTGTGATAGCTGGGTAGATACGTAAACTGACAGATAAGTAGGTAGGTAAATAAGGATAAATAGAATGAGACGATAGAGAAAAATCAAAGAAACAGCAACACAAATAGATGAGAAGGAAAATGACAGAAATACAAACAAAGTGAAATGAGAAAAAGACAATACTACATTGAAACAACCACAACAACAACAACAACAAAAACAAAAAAACAAACAAGAGAAATGTGACAATGCGAAATGCTCACACACTTCGCATTCATCCCAGACAAACAGCGCTTATTTGACGGGCACAGACTCACAGACAGACATCTGTCTTCAAATGCACGAGAGAGAACCTTCGAGAAAGAACGCAGTCACGAGAAAGCACAGAACCTGGGCGTGTTTTCCGAAGCATTCCTCCGACCTCCATCTTAGGAGAGGGGAGGGGAGGGGAGAGGGATGGAGGGGGAAGAGGGAAGGGTGTAAAATGATTTGGGGGAGGGGAGACGAGGGAGGGAGAAGGGGGAAGGGTGTAAAATGATTTGGGGAGGGGGGGCGAGGGAGGGAGAAGGGAGAAGGGAGAAGGGGGGAGGGGGAAGGGGGAAGGGTGTAAAATGATTTGGGGGACGAGGGAGGGAGGAGGGGAAGGGGGAAGGGGAGTAAATTGATTGGGGGTCGAGGGAGGGAGAAGGGGGAAGGGGGAAGGGCATGGAGAAAGATTAAGGAAGAATAGGAATGGGGAAGGGAGCAGGGGGATAGAAGGTGGATAAGAGGGAGAAGAGGAGGGGGGTGGCAGGGGGGAGAAGGGGAGGGAGATGGGGATAAGGAGACTGGGTAGTGGACAGGGAGTGGGTGTTGGGAGGAATGAAAATAAACACCAATTTTATATATCATGCTACGCTTGTTTATAGTACCTTGTTTCCCTTTATTTGATCATCTAATTATCTATTTTTGTCACTTAATTAACCATATTCAGCTATATAATCCAGCGCTTTTCCAATTTTTCTTTTAGATTCTCGATTTTCACATATATATATATATTATTATATACAATTATATATATACAAGTATATGTATATATATATATATATATATATATATATATATATATATATATATATATATATATATATATATATTGTAGAAAAACCCACGATGCACAAACTAGATCTAGTTTGTGCATTGTGTTTTTTTCGACCATAGTACCAGCACGATACACACACACACACACACACACACACACACACACACACACACACGCGCGCGCGCGCGCGCATGTACATGCTGGGACGCAACAGCGTAACCAGACCAAGAACTTGTTAAGACCCCATAATGGCGGCGCCCCACCCGCCCCTTAGGAAAATTCCGGCGCAGGCTATAAACTTCCCGCGGCCGAATTCGCTGAAATCAAGCGAAGGAGCGGCGCACAATCTCCCGGTGATCACGTGACCCTGCCCGCCCTTTCAGATTTCGCGAGCGCCATCACCAGCGCTTCCGCCATCTTCTCCTGCCACATATTGCCCCCCAAACTCATTTTTTTTTATATTTTACACACGCTCTAAATTTCCATAATTCATCGGTAATCTAATAACAACCTAGGCGCTCCTGCAAGTGAATTACGACTGTCACAGGGTTGCTCCAAGATTTTTTTTTTTTACTTCGTCCTTTTGCTCTGTCACCTGCTCATCAACACTTATTCCAATTATGTGGCTCTTCCCACCACCTGGCGTCGCTGCCTTGCTTTTACGACCATCTGTCAGCGCTGGAAATAACAAAGAACAACTTAAAATACCACTACCTTTGCCAGCGTTGTCACCTCCCTTCTCCTATTGTCTGTTAACATTTTACCGCCACTTGCCGCTTACCAGGGAGTCATCCTTACCCCGAGTCTTATTTCCATGTTTTCCCTAATATCCCCATACCACTTGCAATATAATCTTACCATTTTTCAACATCTACCATCCCCCTACCACTTTCCCTAACTCTTAGATCATACCCCTACCATTCCCCCCTACCACTTCCCCACCATTCCTCCTACCACTTTCCCCCACCATTCTCCCCATCCCCTTCCCCCCACCACTCTCCCCATTACCCTCCGCCTCCCTCCGCGCTCCCCTTCGCAGCGTCCACGTAGGGGAGAGGACGGACAGGTTTTGCGAGTGTGCTTGTTGTCAGGTGTGACTCTGGCGAAAGGGAGACAGGAAGTGCCGCATAAAACGCTTTAGGCTTGAGGGAAGGGAGATTGCAAGAGCAGGGGAAGAAACAATGGATGGATAACAGAGAGAAGAGAGAGAGAATAATTAAAGAATTAGAGGAAAGAGTGAGAGGGAGATAGGGCGAGAAAGAAAGGGAAAGGGAGATAGATGGATAGATGGAAAATAATAGAAACAAAATCGTATACATGCCTAAAAAATTATCTAAAAGAGAAAAAGAAAAAAAGGCTATCTAATGACCAAATCACAGGAGTGTCATTGATTTCTCAAGACAATTTACCCATTGCATGACCCAACTCATTACAAGTCCGCGGCCGGGGATCGAAATCTCATTCTCTGCTGACCTGAGTTCTGACCCAGCTTCGACCGGCCTGACCTCGTAGGCCCATAAAAGGGTTATAAAAAGAGCTATAAACGTGATATAGGGCATGTAAGGTTTCTCTGGTACTTGGCTTTGATCTTATTACTTGTTTATCTTTTTATTTTTGCTCATAGGAAGCTAATATATGTGTACACAAACACACACACACACACACACACACACACACACACACACACACACACACACACACACACACACACACACACACACACACATACACACACACACACACACACACACACACACACACACACACACACACACACACACACACACACACACACACACACATATATATATATATATATATATATATATATATATATATATATATATATATATATATATATATGTGTTGTGTGTGTGTGTGTGTGTGTGTGTGTGTGTGTGTGTGTGTGTGTGTGTGTGTGTGTGTGTGTGTGTGTGTGTGTGTGTGTGTGTGCATAATGATAATGATAACAATCATAATGATGATAATAGCAGTGATAATGATGATAATTATAATAATGATAATGATAACAACAACAGCGACAGTGATAGTAATAATGATACTAATAATAGTAGCAATAATGATAATAATGATACTAATAATAGTAGCAATAATGATAATAATGATACTAATAGTAGTAGTAGTAGCAAAAAAATGATGATTATGATAATAATGACAATGGTAATATTAATGATAATGATACTACTACTACTACTACTACTACAACTATTACTAACAATGATAACAATAATGATGATGATTATAGTAATAATAACAAGCATTATCATAATAACATCAACAACCACAATAATAGTGATAATAATAATAGTGATCATAATAATAATGATAACAATAATAATGAAAATAACAACAACAACAATAATAATAATAATGATAATAATAATGGTAATGATAATAATAATAATAAAAATGATAATAATAATAATGAATAATAATAATGATAATAATAATGATAATAATAATAATGATAATAATAATAATGATAATAATAATAATGATAATAATAATGATAATAATAATGGTAATAATAACACCAACAATAATAACAAATATAACAACAACAGCAACAAAATAACGCACATAAAATTATTCACCAAAAAGAAATGAAATTCTAACAGAAAATAAGGGCCAGAATTCGCCACGGGGGAACATAGAACTAAATCACAGCCTTGCAACATGACAGCAACACACCTGCTCAACCAAATCTTATTCTCCAGAGTATGCCAATGATGCGGCTCGTTCGCGCTCTGGCTCTCAGTGGGTTTCTTGAAGGCATTCTTAAGAAGAGGTGTGAGTGCAAAGGCAGATGGATGGATTGCGAGATGGGTAAGTAGATAGGTAGGTAGATAGATATTATAGATACAGATAGAAATGGATGTAGAGACATCTATCTAGCTATCTAACTATCTGTATATCATAGGAGGGGACATATGTTGACAGATCAATTGATAGATATTTAGATAGATAAACAGATACATACATACGTACATATATACGTAGATAGATAGGCAGATAGACAGAGAGAGATACTTTGACTGATAGGTAGATAGACAGGTAGGTAGAAAGAGAAGATATACCGATAAGGAATAAAAAAGAAGGAAAGAGAGAAGGTGGGTGAGAGAGAAAAAAATAGAGAAAGAGATAATAGAGAGAGAGCGAGAGAGAGAAAGAAAGAGAGAGAGAGAGAGAGAGAGAGAGAGAGAGAGAGAGAGAGAGAGAGAGAGAGAGAGAGAGAGAGAGAGAGAGAGAGAGAGAGAGAGAGAGAGAGAGAGAGAGAGAGAGAGGAGAGAGAGAGAGAGAGAGAGAGAGAGAGAGAGAGAGAGAGAGAGAGAGAGAGAGAGAGAGAGAGAGAGAGAGAGTGTGTGTGTGTGTGTGTGTGTGTGTGTGTGTGTGTGTGTGTGTGTGTGTGTGTGTGTGAGAGAGAGAGAGAGAGAGAGAGA